AATATTTACCAAGGCTCCATGATCAGAAAACTTATGCAGAGAACATAGATCCTGTTGAGAAGCTTCACGATTCAGGCACTAGTACTTTTTTTTTTGGTCTGTCATGGGGCTTGAATTCAGGGCCTGGGGACTATCCCTAAGCATTTTGCTTAAGGCTAGCATTTTCCCACTTGAGCACAGTGCCACTTCTGGTGGTTAATTGGAAATAAAAGTCTCACGGACTATCTTACTTGTGCTGGCTCTGAACCATGAGCCTCCTGAATAGCTAGGATTATAGGCGTGAGCCACCGACACCCAGCACAGACACTACTACATTTTAAAGCTGGAATATGAAGGATAAGGGAGAGAACAGACAGGAAGTGAGGGATAGAAGGGCTACAACTTTGTGTCCCATGGACCTCCCCTGGACAGGTCAAGGCAGCTCCAGCAGAGGGAATGGCTAGGTGCCTCCCTTGTGGCCATGATGGAAGCTCATTCTCTGCAAGGCAGGATCGTGGAGAACCTCAAACTCCAGAACAGCAGGATGGATTCGGAGTCTTATCACATAACCCTTATCCAGAAGAGCTCTTTCTTTCCCCATACAAACGAACACCAGAGTTTGGTAAAGAAATGCTAACTTGAAGGAAGAGTCAAACTTGAAGAAAGGCCAAAGTAAAAGGCCATGGGCCCATTGAAGAGTGTAGCCTGATCACTAGCAACAACACAGTGATAATATAATGACTACCAATTATGGAGCTACAGACTCCCTCCTCTTCTGTCTCATTTGCAATTTATTACATCACAGGCAAGGAAAATGAGGCAGTAGAGAGATTAAGTAACTCGTCCTAGGTTATACAGCAAGGAAGCAGCCTGGATCAGAACCTGGGTTAGAAGATGAGGAGACTTTTCCACTGCGCTCACGCAGCTCTCTGGGACCAGTAATCAAACATATTTCCATCATGAGTGGTTTGGGCAATAATGCAATTAAAAGTGCAATGCATTTAGAAGTATCAGGAAGAAAAGTAATCTGTTCATAAAACAATCAGATGATAAAAAGTTATGTCTTTGCAAAGACTAAAAATTTTTAAGGACTAAGAAATAAGCCAGGTGCCGGTGGCTCACACCTGTAATCCTAGCTACTCAGGAGGCTGAGATCTAAGGATCATGATTCAAAGCCAGACTGGGCAGGAAAAGCCAAAAAACTCTTATCTCTAATAAATCACCAGAAAACCGGAAGTGGTACTGTGGCTCAAGTGGTAGAGGGCTAGTCTTGAGCTGAGGGATAGCGCTCAGGCCCAGAATTCAAGCCCCATGACTGACGAGAGAGAGAGAGAGAGAGAGAGAGAATTAAGACTGACATGTGCATATGTTACACGTGTGTGCATATATATATATATGACCCATTCTCAATGAAACTAGGTCTTCAGTGACAAGAGCCTTGAATGGTATTAGATTGGGTGACTGGGTATTATTTTTAGTTGGGTACTGGAATAAAGATTCAGGATGAAAAACATCTCTTCCATAAACTATCTTCTTTCTGTGATTGTCAAAACTCTTCCAGGAGTAATTTTTTTTTTACTATAAGTAAAAAAAGACTTACTGGCAAAAATATAATTAATCTAATGGAATGATGCCAAAACCTGGTCTAAAAACCCACAAGACACCTAAGGACACCAAAAGAAGAACATCCCAGGACACTAATCTAGAAGTAAATATGAAAATGAATTCTAAAAGCAAGTGCTTAAGAATCTTTAAAGGAACCTTTTCTGTGAAGATGCAGACTTGTTCTGATTCCCAAAGTGTACAGGCTTCTTTTAAATGTCTAAAACTGCAAGGCACTAGTAGCTCACACCTGTAATCCTAGCTACTTAGGAAGTTGAGATCTGAGGATCTTAGTTCAAACCAGCCTGGGCAGTAAAATCTGTGAGACTCTTATCTCTAATTAACCAGCAAAAAGCTGGAAGTGGAGCTGTGTCTTAAGTGGTAGAGCTCCAGCCTTATGTGAAAAAGCTAATAGACAGTGCCCAGGCCCTGCATCCAAACTCCAGTACTGGTACCTACATGCATACATACATACATAAAGTCTAAAACTAAAAAGCAAAGGCGAACAGAATATTAAGATCTCTCTAGAGGTACAAAGATAACTAGCATTCAGTGAATACTGCTTACAAAAAACTAATAAACTAGTAAGCTGATGAAATATTTAAGATATCCCAATGTGCATGCTTAGCATATGTAGGACCCTGCGTTCAGTCCTTCAGTCCACAGTAAAGAATAATAATAAAACAATAATAGTGCTTCAAAGCCAGACTGGGCAGGAAAGTCAGTAGACTCTTATCTCCAATAAACTACTCAGAAAAAGCTGAACTGAACTGTGGTTCAAGTGGTAGAGCGCTAACCTTGAACACAAAGAAGCTCAGGGACAGCGCCTAGGCTCTGAGTTCAAGCTCCAGGACTGGAAAAAAATAGTAATAATAACACATATCGAATACCTAACCAATATACTACTATTTTTTAAAGGCCATGTCTAGGGACTAGAGAAAATTCGTCAGTGGCAGAGTGGCAGAGTGCTTGCCTTGCATATACAAGGCTATGGGCTTAAGTGGTAGCACTGCACAAAATAAAAATGAAAGTAGTATCCATCTAATAATGAAAATAAGAATGCAACATTCAGATACCCACTATGTAGAAAAGACATTCACATATTCTGTCATGTAATTCTTTCAACAACCCAAAAGAGATGGATAGTATATTTTATTCCTCCCTCTAAAGATAAGTAAACCATTTAGAAGACTTAAGAATCCTTCCAAAGTTATACAATTAGGAAAAGAACTGCAATCTGTGGGAATCTGAAGCCATGCATCCTCTTCCTAGTCCTTACTTTAAAAGGAAGAGAAGGACACAGGAAGGAAGAATGGATGGGAGGAAAAAAGGAAGAGTTTTCAGGGCAGCTGTGACCTTGCACTCCTTAGTGCTAAAGCCCCCTGAGCCTGGAAGTCAGGCTGAGCATGGAGCCAGCCCCCAACTTGCCTCTCATGGAAGACTTGTTTTTAACTAAGCCACTTGCCTTGCAAAATCATTGTTTTAAAGCCTCTATGTAGAAAACAAATCCTCATGACAACACATACTCTCTCAAGGAAGGGACAAGTGAACACAGGTGCCTGTCATCCTTAAAATTCAGAAGGAAAGCTTGAAAATGGCCAACCCAGGTGGAATGTATGTCCACTAGTATCAAGTAAGCCCCAAGGTCATTTGCTCCTTAGTAATCTAGACACAGAACCACTAAAAAGGATCAAAGCAGAGCCCTCCAGAAAAGTGGTAAGAGAGCCAAGTGGTTGAGGGTTCTCACAAGGAACTTCCAAGACATAAAGAAAATCATTAGAAAGCTTCAGAGGTTTAATTGCAGGCAGGCGTGACTTCTCCACACACCGCCCCCCCCCGAAATTAATCAGCTAATAACTATTCATCATCTTTTGCACAGCATATACATTTATAATAGGACTTAATAAAGTCTTCAGCAACAGCCCCAGAAATAACGAATGGCATTTCGGGGCCTAACCCCAAAGCACTCCTTTCTTTAGAGGATGAAAACGAGAGCGCTTCTCCTTCAAGGTTTGTGCGGGTCCCTCTTTGACAGGCGCTTGACAGATACAACCGCTGTATCTGAAAACAGTAACCTTCCTCCGCGCCCTACTGTGTGGTCCCGTGGTCTCCAGGCTTGTCATCAGTATTGCCAGGTTTCATTTGATTTTTATTTTCTCCAGCGATGCAGAGCAACATGCTGAAGGCCCGGCCACCAGGAAGATGAGAAGAAGGAAATCTTTTCTCACTCCAAAAAGGTCCAGCAGCTTCCGGGAGCAGAACTCCGAGGTGTCCCGAGCTCCCCAAGAAAAGGATCCAAGACCGCCTGGGCCAGTGTGTGCAGGCCCAGGATGTCTCCTGGGGTTGAGGGGTGCCACTGGCGAACCAGACAGGTCCCCGGGGCTTTTACAGATCACGGTCCTGTCCGAAGCTTTGCGCCCCCTTCCTCTCCCCCCCACCCCCAGGATTGAGATCTACGATCTGAGCCTCCAGAGCCGGCGGTGGTACGCGCACTCCCCCCTCAGACTGGTTATAACGACACCCCGGGCTTTCCTTTCCCTCCCAGCACCAGAAGCGGGGTGTTCTCGCCAGACCCCGCAATGTCTCCGGCTGCCCCCCCCCCCACGGCAGAGAGGTGACAGCGGCGGACCGGGGAGGGAGGAGAGCATCTCGCGTCGGTGTTGGTGGACGCGACCCGGCAGCCTCCAGGCAAAGGTGTCTTTTGGGCACCACCCCGTCTTCGCGTGCGGGAGCGGTGCGGGGCGGGCGGCCTCTAACCTCGCAGCGGGAGCGGCGGGGCTCTCCGATCGGCCTCACCTGCTCCCCCGCAGGCGCGATCCGAGGCAGGCGCGATCCGAGGCAGGCGCGATCCGAGGCAGGCGCGCTGGGCTCTGAGACCGCGAGCGGACACACCTGAGCATCAGCCCCCGGAGGGGGGCGGGGGGAGCTCCGTTGAGACTCGGCCACTGGGAAACTTCCAGAGGGGCGGCTGTTTCCGTGGGGGCCGCCAGCGGCACTCCGCGAGGGGCCAGACGCCCAGCCCAGCTTAACCCTCCCGGGGCTCAACCCCAGACGGTCGCAAACCAGCGTGGGGGGGGGGGGGAGGACAAAAACTCTACAACCGCTCCGGCGAGTTCCCGCCTCCCGACAGGTGAGGATCCCACCGACGGAGTTGTCAGCCCGGCCAGCCGCGCCTCCTGGACCCGGAGGTGCCGAAGCTCCCGGTGTCTCCCGACCCCCCCCCCCGCCCCCGGCCCGCCTTCACCCAGATCCCATCCCTGGCACGGCGGGGAAGCCCCAAGGCGCGCACAGCGGTTGCCACCGCATCCCGGATCCCTGGAGTCTCATGGCCCGAGGACGATCGGGTGAGCCGAGGAGCCCCGTGAGGCTGGCACAGTGCGGGAGGGTCGGGGGGAGCCCCGGCGCCGTGCCCTTCTTACCTGGCGCTCGCTGGGCCCCGGCTGGGACATCCGCCGGGTGCGCGCCGCTCACCTGGCCGCCTCGCGCCCGGCCCCAGCCCTGCGGCCGCGCTAGCGCTGCATGGCGCACGGGGCTGGCGGGGCCCCGGAGAGCGTGTCCAGTTGGCGGCGACTCCTCCGGCTCTCGCCACTTGCCAATGGCTCCCCGCCTTCGCCCGCCCCGCGTCTCGGTGCGCCCTTCCTTAGCGGCCGCCCTTTTTCCCCCCCTCTCCGCTCCGTCCGACCGGCCAAACTGGTTTCTCGGCTCCAGGGAGGAGCCTTTCCAGTCTCCCTCCCGCAGCCGCGATTGCGGTGAGGCTGGAGTTGGGGGCGGGCCCCGCGAGCTGTCTTTCTTGGTCCCTCCTCCGGGGCG